CCTTCCTCCCTATTGTTAATACACCCCCAGCTGACGGGGCTGGACCCATCACGTGCTGCCCCCCCCGGCCCCATCCCTGGGCAGGTTGTTCGTCCCGCGGGGGGGGGACAGGGCTTTAATTTTAATTCCTTAAGAACGTCAAGGCAAAGCCCCCGGGCTGGGAGGGGAACTGGAGCAGACGCATCCGCGATGCTCTTGGCAACTGGTTGAAACTGGGGCAGCTCTTTAATGCTTATCCAGCTGACGGAGCCGTTGCTCGTTAAGATCCGCTGCTGGGCTGGGGTGGGGTTGGGCCAGAGTAAAACTTGTTGATGATGACCCTGATACTCCAAAAAAAAAAAATTATTATTATTATTATTATAATCAAGAGAGGCAAACCCAACAGATGCTTCCATCCCTGCCTGGCTTGGGGAGCGCAACCAGCGCCGGCTCCAAACTTCTGAAAAACTGAGGTGGGATTGAGTTTGGTCCCCACCTGATGATGAGCATCATTTCTTGGAGGCGTTTTCTTGCCTGGGACAAATATTTCATAAAGCCGGCAGGGCCGCCAGGGAGACGCTTGGTTTCCAGCATGTTTGCCCTCCCTTTTCTCCCCCCTCTTCCCCCAGTTCTCTTTAAAACTGATTTTTATTTCAATAGGAGTCATAGAATCATTCAGGTTGGAAGAGACCCTTGGGTCGCACAGTGTTTTCTCTGCCCTGGGTGGATCTGAGGTGGAAGGTGATCAAATCCCGTTCTGGCTTTATTACAGTAAGATACTACAAAGCTTGAGGAGAAAAAAAAAAATTACTCATTTTTAGGGCAAATAGTGGTGAAGCCATCCATCCCTTCCACCCCGTTGTAAGGCTCATATTTAAACCAGCTCGGTGAAATGGAGTTTCTGGTTCACTCGTGGGAGGGGGGGTGGAGGTGAAGCCCCTCCAGAGCAGGAGGTGGTGGAGATGGTGGGTGGTCCATGGAGGTGCAGCCCCTCTGGATAAGGAGAGTGGAAGGTGGTGGGGATGATGGGTGGTCCATGGAGGTGAAACCCCTCTGAATTAGAAGAGTGGAAGGTGGTGGGGGTGGTGGTTGGTCCGTGGAGGTGAATTCCGTCTGAATTAGAAGAGTGGAAGGTGGGGGGGATGGTGGGTGGTCCATGGAGGTGCAGCCCCTCTGGATAAGGAGAGTGGAAGGGGGGGGGGATGGTGGGTGGTCCATGGAGGTGCAGCCCCTCTGGATAAGGAGAGTGGAAGGGGGGGGGGATGGTGGGTGGTCCATGGAGGTGCAGCCCCTCTGGATAAGGAGAGTGGAAGGGGGGGGGGATGGTGGGTGGTCCATGGAGGTGCAGCCCCTCTGGATAAGGAGAGTGGAAGGGGGGGGGGATGGTGGGTGGTCCATGGAGGTGCAGCCCCTCTGGATAAGGAGAGTGGAAGGGGGGGGGGATGGTGGGTGGTCCATGGAGGTGCAGCCCCTCTGGATAAGGAGAGTGGAAGGGGGGGGGGATGGTGGGTGGTCCATGGAGGTGCAGCCCCTCTGGATAAGGAGAGTGGAAGGGGGGGGGGATGGTGGGTGGTCCATGGAGGTGCAGCCCCTCTGGATAAGGAGAGTGGAAGGGGGGGGGGATGGTGGGTGGTCCATGGAGGTGCAGCCCCTCTGGATAAGGAGAGTGGAAGGGGGGGGGGATGGTGGGTGGTCCATGGAGGTGCAGCCCCTCTGGATAAGGAGAGTGGAAGGGGGGGGGGATGGTGGGTGGTCCATGGAGGTGCAGCCCCTCTGGATAAGGAGAGTGGAAGGGGGGGGGGATGGTGGGTGGTCCATGGAGGTGCAGCCCCTCTGGATAAGGAGAGTGGAAGGGGGGGGGGATGGTGGGTGGTCCATGGAGGTGCAGCCCCTCTGGATAAGGAGAGTGGAAGGGGGGGGGGATGGTGGGTGGTCCATGGAGGTGCAGCCCCTCTGGATAAGGAGAGTGGAAGGGGGGGGGGATGGTGGGTGGTCCATGGAGGTGCAGCCCCTCTGGATAAGGAGAGTGGAAGGGGGGGGGGATGGTGGGTGGTCCATGGAGGTGCAGCCCCTCTGGATAAGGAGAGTGGAAGGGGGGGGGGATGGTGGGTGGTCCATGGAGGTGCAGCCCCTCTGGATAAGGAGAGTAGAAGGTGGTGGGGATGGTGGGTGGTCCATGGAGCTGCAGCCCAACGGGCAGGGGAAGGATGGGCAAACGTGGGGAGGGCTGGTGGAGGTTGGTCAGGGTGTTTGGTGTCTTGTTTTTGTATCACAGTGTTGTCTCATCTTCGTCCTTCTGCTTCTGTGTCCCTGGATTTCGGGGGTGGCAGTTTCCCTGGAGGCTCTGGGAGGGGACGCCAGGAGTCCGTGTGGGTGCTGCTGAACCACCCCAATTCACCCGATTCTGGGGAAAAAACTGCAAATTTAAAGGCATCTTCTGTTTTATTGCTTGATGTCAGCAAGTGGAGGTGTCTTGAGGCACACAGGACCATTTTTGGTTGAGCTCAGCAGGGCAAAAAAGCAGGTGAACCTGTATAAATCTGGTTTCTTCAGCATTGGAGGCAGGTGCTGGGTTGCCACCGGGCACCTTCTCCTGGGCTGGGCACCGAGACGGGTGGTGGGCACGTGCAGGGAGGGAAGAGCAGGAGGATGGTGCAGAAGGACACGGCTCTGGTGGTTCTCTGAGGGCAGCTCGCCACGGCAGGGCCAGTTGCACCACATGGTTAAGTATTTTTCCACAAACTCCGTGCCTGTAGTTACTGGTTATTAAGATTGATTTATTTTTTATTATTAAAATTGCTACCGACCTGCTGCAAAACAGGTTGGGTGAAACGTGGCCGTTGCCTTCGTCACGAGGTCCTGCGCCGGGGGTTGTGTGTGTGCGCCGACATCGCTCCCCCATCTCCCAGGGAGATCTCCATCTCCCAGCTTCTGGGAGGAGCGAGGAAAATGAAAATAAAGGGGTTTTCTGCCCCAAAGTCCTGCCGGGAGTGGTGTTGGAAGAGGCTGGCCTTGAGCTCTGTCCTGCGAGGAACCTGCGTGGTCCCTGCCCTGACACATCCATCCATCATGGCCCTGGATGTACATCCATCACTCCATCAGCAATGATGGGGTGGGGAACTTCAAGAGCTATAAAAAATATAGCCAGTAGGAATAATAAGCTTATTTTAAATGCTGAGTGGTGACAATGAGCTGGTGGGAGACCTGCCGGGTGGTGGGGGTGAAGCCTTGAGCCCCGTTTGGGTGTCTTTGGATGTTCTGCATCAGCTCAGGTGGCCCTCGGAAGCGGGACTACGCTGTAGTGTCACGTTGAGGATTGGGTTTAGGTGGCACCTTGCTGTGGTCCTTCTCTTTGGGTGAGGCAGCACCCAGGGGCACTAGGGCTGCCCTGGCATCTCCCTTGGCAGAGGAGTAAAGAGATGATGCCCCGGTGCAAGTCAGTTCAAGGCAGAGGCTTTTCTAGAGTTGCTCCCAACACCATGGCAAGGGGACCGCATCCAGCTGGGCTTCTCTTGGATGAGCTGCTTCAAGATGCCTCATGTCCCCTGGGCTGCTGGGCTCTGGGGACGAGGTGAGCTGAGCCAAATGAACCCCAAAAGGAGGGTGGCTTCTCCATGGTCCAACCTGTAGCGTCTGTGGGCACTGGTGGTTCCCAGGCTGGAGGAGGAGGGTGGTTGTAGCGATGTGGTGGCATCTTGGGATAAGGCAGGTGAAGGAGCCACCCGTTCTTTACGGGTTCTTTACTGTGAGGGTGGTGGAGCACTGGAACAGGTTGCCCAGGGAGGTGGTTGAGGCCCCATCCCTGGAGATATTCAAGGAGAGGCTCGACGAGGCCCTGGGCAACCTGGTCTAGTTGGGGGTGTCCCTGCTGACTGCGGGGGGGTGGGACTAGATGGCCTTTGGAGGTCCCTTCCGGCCTGGGCAATTCTATGATTCTGTGATTCTATTTTTTGGGGCTGGAAGGTGGTAGAAGTAACTGGGCAGCACGTCCAGCGTAGTTTGACAGTAGGGAGAGGCTGGTCCTGGGCTTCGGTTGGGCTTTCAGAGCTGAAAAGAGCTTTTTCCTGGAAAGCTTTCATGGTTTGAGACTCGCTGGTGCTTGGGTTGGGGTTTGCTTGGGCAAACCGGCCTCGCAGGGTGCTGCTGGTCAGCTTGGGAGCAGGATGCATCTCTTGGAGCATCCAGGAGTGGTCCCCCTGGGAGCTGAGCACCTCCTGGGACTGAACCTGGGCACTCCTTTCCTGGAGTGGGGTGGGAATGGCTTGGAGTGGGATGGGGTTGGATGAGACAGACTGGATCAATGGGTCAACGGGATGAGGTTCAATAAGGCCAAGTGCCAGGTCCTGCATTTCAGTCACAACCACCCCAGGCAGCACTACAGGCTGGGGCCAGGGTGGCTGGAGCTGCCCAGCAGAAAAGGACCTGGGGGTGTTGGTGGACAGCCGGCTGAACAGGAGCCAGCAGTGTGCCCAGGTGGCCACGAAGGCCACCAGCATCCTGGCCTGTGTTACGAACAGAGTGGGGAGTAGGAGTCAGGAGGTGATTGGTGCCCCTGTCCTGGGCACTGGTGAGGCCTCACCTCGAGACCTGTGGTCAGTTCCAGGCCCCTCACCACAGGAAGGACATTTTGGTGCTGGAGCGTGTCCAGAGGAGAGCCACCAAGCTGGGGAGGGGTCTGGAGAACAAGTCCTACGAGGAGAGGCTGAGGGAACTGGGCATGTTTAGTTTAGAGAAGAGGAGGCCAAGGGGAGACCTCATTGCCCTCTCCAACTCCCTGACAGGAGGGTGTAGAGAGCTGGGGGTTAGGCCTCTTCTCCCAGGGGAATAATGACAGGAGCAGAGGAAATGGTCTGAAGTTGGGGCAGGGGAGGTTTAGATTAGATATTGGGAAGAATGACTTTCCTGAGAGGGTGGTCAGGCACTGGAACAGCCTGCCCAGGGAGGTGGTGGAGTCACCATCCCTGGAGGGATTTAAGAAACGTGTAGACGTGGCTCTTCAGGGCATGCTCTAGTGCCCAAGGTTATTGGTTTGTGGGTGGGTGTGATGGGGTTTTTTGGGGGGTTTTTTTTTTTGGATCTTTTTTTGGGGTGTTTTTTTTTTTTTTAAGGTTGGACTCAATGATCTCAGAGGTCCCTTCCAACCATGGTGATTCTGTGATTCTGAGGCAGGGTAGGATGGGGTGGGATGGAGCAGGAGGGCTGGAGCCCCTCTGCTGTGAGGACAGGCTGAGAGAGTTGGGGGGGTTCAGCCTGGAGAAGAGAAGGCTCCGGGGAGACCTTAGTGCAGCCTTTCAGTACTTGAAGGGGGGTTGTAAGAAAGGTGGGGAGGGACTATCCAGTAGGGCTGGTTGTGATATAACAAGGAGCAATGGTTTTAAACTAAAAGAAGGAAGATTTAGACAAGATGTAAGGTAGATTTTTTTTACAGTGAGGGTGGTGAGATACTGGCCCAGGTTGCCCAGAGAGGTGGTGGATGCCCCATCCCTGCAAACATTCCAGGTCAGGTTTGACAGGGCTCTGAGGAACCTGATCTGGTTGAAGATGTCCTTGCCCATGGTGGCAGGGGGGGACTAGATGGCCTTGAAAGGCCCCTTCCAACCCAAACTATTCTATGATTCTAGGATGGGATGGGTGGGATGGGATGGGGTAGTGCAGGATGGTGTGGGATGGGGTTGGATGAGATGGGTTGGCTGGGATAGATGGGATTGGGATGGAGTTGGATGGGGTGGGCTGGGTTAGGATGGAGTGCGATGGGGTCGAATGGGATGGATTGAGATGGGAAGGATGGGATGGAGTTGGATGCGATGGGATAGGATAAGATGGGATGAATTTTGCTCCTTGCCTCCCAAGGATCTTCCAGCTGCCCCAACACTGAAGTCGCTGGTGGCAGCTGGGGACAGAAGGAGTCCATGGCTGCTGGAGGAGAGGGGTTTGGTGGCACTGCAGGAGAGCACCATTTTCTCTAGCTCTGGCTTCCCTGCTTTTTTGCAGTGACTGATTTCTTTTGGTGGGCAGAGCCATCCCAGCAGAGACGAGTGGCACAGAGGGCAGGTCACCAACCAGGCAGGGTTCTTGGCCATGGCGGGAGGTAACCATTCAGCAAGGATGGCCGTGCAGAGGATCCCCGGAGGAGGATCCTGGGGAAGCTGGCTGTCAAACCCACACAGGGTTTTATTGAGCACAGTTCCTTGGCTGGATGCAAGTGTGGGGTTTGTTGTCCGTTGCTGATCACACCCCTGACCATACCTGTTTGAGCAGCACCATGAGATACGAGGTTCCTTGGTGGTTTCAGCTGCTTTGCTTGACCATGGTCCTTCTCGTGGGACGAGCTGTGGATTTTGCTTTCCTCTCACAGCTCACATCTCCAGAAACAACCTTTCCCTGCTGTCCTTTTCTCACTTGGAGCCTGTGTTTTATCTGCTGCATGTGGGGCAGATGCCCCAGATCGCTGCCCGTATTCACCAGCATCCTTATCATTGTGTTGCTCCTGCTGCACCCCGAATTCATGTTTCACAGGGCAGATGGTTGCCCGTCACAAGGTTCTGGTTGTCCTGTGCTGTTAAATTGGGAGCAAACGGAACATGCTGCTGCTGTAGGGACAGAAGGATCAAGTCTGGAGCACACCAACCTCCAGCACTGCCATGCGTGGCTCTCCCCAGCCCTGCCTGCTTTGGGTCTGGACCCAAAGCCTTTCCTTCTTTCCACGGACCAACCTTTCCTTGGGTTCTTACTATGCCCCACATTTCCTCCCTGTCCCCAGTGTTTGGCCCCAAATTACTTTAGAAGCTGTTTATCGGCCAAAATTGTTTCTGGGGTGCAGAGGCTCATGGTGCGCCTGTGCAACGAGCAGCGTGGGCCAAAGTTTGAAGGTCTCGTTCTCCCGCTGGTGGAATCAGGGTGTTGGGTGTTGGTGGCTGAGCTCCTCCTGCAGGGCTCATCCTGCAGGATTTGGCCCAAAGCCCCTGGCTGTCTGCTGGGGCTGCTGGTGGCTGCTTGCGTGTCCCCAGCATTCAGGCTGGTGGTACCAGTCCTTCCAAGCGTCTTCCTTGTGTTCATCCCAGGGAAGGTCAAAGCTTCACAAAACCAGCTTCCAGCTGCTGATTGACCCCCAAAACCCAGCTGTGCACGTGGGGTGGCTCAGTTGGAAAACTTGCTCCTGATGTTGGGAGAAGCGGTCCCGCTCTTCTCTGCTCACAGCATCAGAGCTGGACCAGGTGAGAAGACAGGACACTGCTTTGGTTGGAGCTGATTGATCACAAGCAGGGTTATGGATGCTGGTCTGGGTGAACATCAGATGAGTTCATGGCTTGGCTGGATCCTGCATGGACTTGAGTGTCTCAGAACTCCCTGCTGCCCGAGCACGTCGTCTTGCAGCCAGGCTGGGGAGGTTTTGGATGGTTGTTACCTCATGGGAAGGCTTTGCAGTGCTTCTTGTGTGTCCATGTCCTGAGCCTGCACCGCGGTGAGGTTGGGAGTGCCACCATGTGGGGTTGGGAGTGCCACCGTGTGAGGTTGGGAGTGCAACCAGGCAAACTTGGGTGTGTTGGCCATCTCCAAGGGCAGGCCTCTGAGGATAAGTGTTTAGGTTTCCCCACGGAAAGCAGCCCCATGTTGCTGGGAAGTGGTGGACATCAGCAGGACGCATCTTTGGAGAGTTGTGATGGGTCTTGGGGTCCTGTCCCGTTGTCCCCCCGCAGCCGACCAGCCCGGAGCAGTGTGGTCGGGGGTGTGCGTGCATCTCGGCCGTGCCTGGGCGGCCGTGACTCTGCAGATGCTCATTTCAGGAGGTTTCCTTGGAAACCTGGCAGCCAGCATGAGGAGGGAGCGTTCCCGAGACAACTTCGACCCCGGTGGAAGGTGACTGGGGCAAGGCTGGGAGGAATGGCTTTCTCCAGGGCTGACCTGCTCCAGCTCAGCCTGGGGAAGCGGGATGCCCTCACCAGATTGCTGGAAAGCCTTTGCCCTCCTGCTGCGGCGTGTCCCCAGACCCTAACCCAGGGCTTTGTCTTTGCAGGAGCAGGAAGATCCAGATCCGAAACATCCCCCCCGACCTGCAGTGGGAGGTAAGAAGTGGATGATCCTAAAAGCCTCCTAAAATGAATCTCCTCCTCCGTCAGTCGTGCCAACCAGTATGAGCTCTGCTGCTGGAGCGTGTGGTCTGCACATGGGCCACCCTTTACCTTCCCAGTAACCCCAGGAGGGAGGTGGAGCGTGGACTGGCCTCCATCTCCTGCCTGCTTGTGGGTCCTGCAGCCTTGGGCAGCTTTGAGCAGTGGGGCATCAATGGGATCACGGGATGCAGGAGGTGGGTGAAGGTGTTTCAGCAGTTGGGTGACACTGGCTCTTTGGAGGGTTGTCTGTGGATGAAGAAGGCTCTCCCCTTGCCTGTCCCACAGCTTCTCCTGCCCGTCTCACCTGCCCTCTTTGCTGCTCTCTCCCCAGGTGCTGGATGGCCTGTTAGCTCAGTATGGGACGGTGGAGAACGTAGAGCAAGGTAAGATGGTCCAGCGTGGTGGTCCCCATCTGTGCAAAAGTCCCAGTGCTGCTCCCCAGCTCCACCCGCGACAGAGAAAACCCAGTGGGGTGAAACCTGGTTTTCCCTGTCATTGGTACTGGGCTAAAATGGTTGTCTCTGCCTTCTGGCTGAGGTGGGACCACCCATCTGGTGGTGGGATGGCATGGGCCATCAAGTCCTCCATCCCCAGGGATCCTCCTGGTGGCCGGCAAATTAAAAAAACAATAGACCCTGTAAGCCAAGTGTTGTGTGGGGTCTGCTGGTGGGTCAGTGATGTCCAGCCACTCATCCTCCTTGGCCGGGGTGGCAGGATCTGGCCTTGGCACCTTCTGGTCCTTTGCCAGCCCGGCCCCATCCTTGTGCTGGGGGAAAATCCAGCGATGGGCGGTGGCTGGGGCCATTCCCCAGGGGACAGGCATTACCCTCCCACCATCCCCACCTCCCAGCCCCTCTCTGGGGTGTACTGGGGGAACTGGGAGCAGCGGTGACATCTCCCCCCCTGCTCTAACCCTCCTTCTCTTGCTTTTCCCCCCCAGTCAACACAGACACCGAAACAGCCGTTGTCAACGTAACGTACGCAACGAAAGAAGAGGCAAAAGCGTAAGTGGGTTTTATTTCATTTTGTCCTTATTTTCACACCACCCAGGCTTTTCCTGATGAATCCCAGGTATTTTCTGCTGGCCGTTTTTTCCAGGCTTCTCCTTGTCTTCTCCCTAAGCCTCCTTGGGTTGTTTCTGCACTCTTAGAGTGTAAGCTTCAAGTGTCTTCAGGGCTCGTTGTGTACCTTCTTGAGATGCAGCAAGCAGATGTTGGGTTTATCTTGAGCTGTGTCACCTCCCGTGTCGTGTGCCAGCAGGCAGCTCCACCTTCTCCTCTTCGCTCCACCACTGGGTGGTCTCCTGCTTTATCCCCTCACGTGGGGGATAGGGTTTCTTGTGGTGCTCCGTCATACGTGCCACAGGCACCACTGGACCAGCTTAGGGCCATTGACCATGTGGTTGTCCCCTCTTGGTCTGTGCCTTCTCGTCTTGTCTCCAAGGGGCTCCCAGATGTGGCATCTTGCAGTTCCCTCTGGACACTGTCCTTCCTGCAGAGTCGCAGTGGCCTTGTCTTCAGGGAGCAAAGCACTCTAGAAAGCAGAGGGTCAGGTCAGATAAGCAATTCCTCAAGGAGTCGTCTTCCCAGACTGGAAGATCAGACCTAAGCTGGATTAATCACCAGTCCAACCACCCAGCCAGAGCTGCTGAAAAGGTGGAATATGTCGAAAGAGGTGGTGAAGGAATGCTGTGATGCTGGGAGATGTAAGTACCCACCACCGTTTGGGGAAAATTCAAGTTGGAGACCAAAATATTTGGAGACACTTGCCTTCTGCTTCCTGGAGCCCAGAGAAACCGGCTGATTGACTTCTAAAAGGCTTTTGGAAAGTTCTTCTGCCACAGACGAGAGAGAGAGAGGGCCTTTGGGTGAATGGAGAGCTGGTTAGAGGAGGTGGGAGGGAGGTGGGGGGTCCATGGCCGGTCCCTGCAGGGGAGGGTAAATCACCCGTGCGTGGTGCAGAGGAGTCATAAAGAAATGCCACCCATCAAGAACATCTTTGAAAGGATGGAAGAACCCATGGAGGCTGGGCATCAGTGCAGGAGGGCTGCGTGAAGACATGCCTGAAGATTTATCGTAACCAGCAGAGGGAAAAAAACAACCCCAAATTAGAGTTTAATTAAGGAACACAGGGACTATTTCAAGCAAACTGCTTTGTTACAGGTAGAGACTTCAGCCCTGTGCTAGAGACCAGCCTTAAATTAGCTACAAGTAAGAGGTGAGCACATCCCATACTTAGTGGCCAGGGTATTTTTGATATGACCAAGAGCCAGGAAGACCCCAGGAAGACCCCATGCAAGGAAGAGCTGTTGCCAGAGTCCATTTGCTGGTGGACACTCCAGCAACTTCCCATCCAACTTGACCATCACGAGGTTGTGCTTGTGAGGACAGAGATGGGGAGAAGGTTGAGTGAACAGCCCACCTTGCTGCAGTTGGGGTGGCCACACTGGGCGTGTGGTCCAGCCTCAGTTGGCCAGAGGATGGTGGTTGCCAGTAGGTGAAGGGAAGGGGCTGTGGACCACAGATAAGCAAGGCGTGAGCTGCCATGTCTTGGGATGTCTGGCAAGAATGGAAGATGAAGAGTCTCACCAACACAATAGTGCTTGATGCTTTAGGGTGAGAGTCTTCAGGATTAGTGAAGATGCCATGATTGGTCACATCCAGCCACTCGATGCAGAAATGAGTGATGGGAGGAAAGGCCAAGTTGGTTGGTGGATACGTGTGTTTGGTTTAGAGCAGGTTGTGATAGGAAGAGGTGAAAGGAAGACCTCGGCAGAGAAGTCAGGCTGCCGGGCACTGTGCTGGTTTTGGAAAGGGACGGCGAAGCTGCAGAAGTCATTGTTGGGTGTGATGTTGGCCTGGCAAAGCCTGGCTGTAAATAGCCAAAGCGAGATGGTAGGAAGAGGGTAGAAGTATGGCTGAAGCCATCACCGCTCACAGAAGTCATTGCAGACTCCACATGGATGAGCATCCATCCCACCGAGGAGGAACTTGATGTGATGAAGAGCCCAGGTGCTGCCCCCCGAGCCTTACTGAGCTGGAAGGGGAGTTGGGGTTCCCAATAGAGGGGCACCATGTGCCATGTCCTGTTCCTTGCAGCAGCAACTCTTGCTCAGAGCCCCTCTGTCACCTTTGCCGTGTCCAAAAAGCCTGCAAGCGCGTTTCCACGCTGTGTGATAGCTTCTGGCCAGAGCTTTCCTGGCCTGTATCAGGAACAGCGTGGCGAGTAGGGCCCAAGAGGTGATTGTCCCCCTGTACTCAGCACTGGTGAGGCCTCACCTCGAGTACCGTGTCCAGTTTTGGGCTCCCCACCATAAAAAAGACATTGAGGTGCTGGAGCGGGTCCAGAGAAGGGCGACAAAGATGGTGAGGGGTCTGGAGAATAAGTCTTATGAGGAGAGGCTGAGGGAGCTGGGGGTGTTCAGCCTGGAGAAGAGGAGGCTGAGGGGAGACCTTCTCGCTCTCTCCAACTCCCTGAAAGGAGGGTGTAGAGAGGTGGGGGTCGGTCTCTTCTCTCAAGTCACAGGCGACAGGACAAGAGGAAATGGCCTCAAGTTGCCCCAGGGGAGGTTCAGGCTGGATATTAGGAAAAATTTTTTCCCTGAAAGGGTTCTCAGCCCTTGGAATGGGCTGCCCAGGGAGGTGGTTGAGGCCCCATCCCTGGAGGTGTTCAAAAGCCGGGTTGATGTAGTGCTGGGAGGTCTGGTTTAGTGATGATGCTCCTTGTTTGTTGTGTGGGTGTCTATTTTTGTCAGTCAGGTTGACGGTTGGACAAGATGATCTTTAAGGTCCCTTCCAACCTAGAAGATTCTGTGATTCTGTGAAGTGTCAGATCCCCAGGGTGGCATCCCACCTTTGCTGGGGGACAAGCCGCGTGCCAGTCCTGGCATCACCCACAGGGGAGGGGACATGGTTACACCACACTATGGGGCTTGCTCTGCATGGGGAAAATGGGGGGGGGTCTGGCTTCCTGTGGCCACCTCCTCCAGACTGAGGTGGGATGACGATGCAGGGTTGGGGAGGGTCCAATGGTCTACGAGGGCAAGTTCTGGAGGTGTCCCCATCCCTGGAGAGCCCCTTACCACCCCCTGCCTCTCCCTTGTCTTGCAGAGCAATTGAGAAGCTGAGCGGCCACCAGTTTGAGAACTATTCCTTCAAGATTTCCTACATCCCGGATGAAGAGGTGAGCTCCCCTCCGCCCCCCCAGCGATCCTGCCGCGGGGGCCACTCTTCCAGGGAGCGGGACTCCTCCCCGGGGGGCTCCTCGCAGCCCAAACAGCTCGATTTCCCACTGCGGATGCTGGTGCCCACGCAGTTTGTTGGTGCGATCATAGGAAAGGAGGGCTTGACCATAAAGAACCTTACTAAGCAAACCCAGTCCAAGTAAGTACCTCGAATGGTTTTGTTTCCTTCCCTTAGGGTGCTGTAGGTCCCCCCCAAAACGGGTCCTCCACGCACTCGGGGCTCTTGCTGTTCTCATGGGGTGCAGCCTTCCTGGGATGGTGGCAGAGCCCACGTCCTACCCCGTTGCCATTGGCCAGGGTGGTCTGGGGATGCACTTTCCAAAGGACCAGGAGTGGGTTTCTAAAGGCGAATTGTGAGAAGGGCTGGGGGTGAGGCTTTAGCGGAAAAGGGCAAGTCTGGGGGTAAAATGCTGAAGGGGGATCCCGGGTACAAGCAGTCGGTGGTCTTTGCTCTGGGGGTTTGCTCCTCCCGTGGTGGCCCAGATGGGCTAGAGCTGTGGCAGGGGGAAAGGGGACACCCTGGGAGCGCTACCTTGAGAAGGGTGGGCTTCTCCTAACTGTTTGAAGCCTTTCTTTGCAATCTTAACATTGTTATTATTGAAGGAAAAAAAAAATATACAAAATAAATAAAAGGAGGGGGGAGGGGACTTGTCTTGCCAAAGTTTTCCATGTTCACCTTGATTTCACCTCTGATTTTCTGCATGGTTTTCCTGCATGGTTTGTTCCTGCCCAGATTTGTTTGTGTTTAACCCAGAGCTGTCTTCTCCCATGCTCATCATCCTGAACCCGGTGGTCCCACCCACAGGACGTAGGACTCCTGTACCAGCACATCCTCCAGGGCATCCTAGTTCTCAGAGAAGCTTTTTTGAGGCAAATTATTTGGTGATAGCCCGTCCGCTTGAGCAGGAGGTAGGAAGAGGCGCTGCAGCCGAGCGAGCTGAACCCCAGCGCTGGGTTTGCAGGAGGAGGTTTGTACAGAAAGGGGGGCAGTAGGGAGAGGAGCTTGGTGGACCCAGCTAGCCCTAGAGCGTGGCCACCTAGTAGCCGTGAGCTGGTCCCGGTTGGCCGCAAGCCCTTCTTTCTCCAGGTGAGTCCCCTTGGTGCGATGAGCCATGTCGTTGCCGCTCAAGACTGGGAGAGGTTGCCCTTTGCAACTTCCTGGGCCTGGTGAGGAATCACAGAATCTCAGAATCTTCTAGGTTGGAAGGGACCTTAAAGATCATCTTGTCCAACCGTCAACCTGACTGACAAAAATAGTCACCCACACAACAAACAAGGAGCATCATCACTAAACCAGACCTCCCAGCACTACATCAACCCGTCTTTTGAACACCTCCAGGGATGGGGCCTCAACCACCTCCCTGGGCAGCCCATTCCAATGGCTGAGAACCCTTTCAGTGAAGAAATTTTTCCTAATATCCAGCCTGAACCTCCCCTGGGGCAACTTGAGGCCATTTCCTCTTGTCCTGTCGCCTGTGACTTGGGAGAAGAGACCGACCCCCACCTCTCTACACCCTCCTTTCAGGGAGTTGGAGAGAGCGAGAAGGTCTCCCCTCAGCCTCCTCTTCTCCAGGCTGAACCCCCCCCAGCTCCCTCAGCCTCTCCTCATAAGACTTATTCTCACCATCTTTGTCGCCCTTCTCTGGACCCGCTCCAGCCCCTCAATGTCTTTTTTATGGTAGGGGGCCCAAAACTGGACACAGTACTCAAGGTGAGGCCTCACCAGTGCCCAGTACAGGGGGACAAGGAAGGTGAGAGGTGCTTGGCTGTTGGTTTCTCCTGACCACGAGGCCAAACGCTGCTGTCTGGGGTAGTTTCTGCTGCCCAGCCGTCCCTCCTCGTGGGTTGGCTCCCCATGCCTGCCCTGAAAACCTGGTTCTGTGGAGGAGAGCTATGCTCTGTGCTTTCACCTCTCATGATCTGCCTGAGGAGCCCGTGTGCCACGGTGGGCCACCACCTCCACTCCAGCCTTCGGGGAAGGGAACCTCATGCACCTGGTCCACCCAGTCACAGGAGACCATTGCCTTTAGTTTGGGGTGTCAGCCTGCAGCTCAGTGCCTGCTCAGGTCACTCTCACCCACTGGTGTGCTGATCCTGGGGACAAGGGATGAACAGGGTGACATCCTGTTGCCCAGCCCTTGCTCCTACCCAGAAGGATGTTGGGTCCTGGATTCCTCTGGTCATGCAGGACTTCAACCCTGTCTCCACATACAGCAATGACTGGAGATGCTCTTGAGGTCCAGGGGACAAAACTGGCCCCAGGTTGAGCCATCTTCTTCCTTGACTGAGAAAGGAGCCCAGACCAAGAGTCCACCCCACCAGAGGACCTTTCATGGTGATTGCAGCCTTTTCAGTTTGTTGAGGAGAGGACCATTGCTACCAAGCAGCCACGAGGCCAGGATAACCCTATGTGCACATCATATCATCCACCTGGAGAGGGCTGTCCCTCATGGCCACCACTTTCTGAAGCCTTTCCAACCCCTATAAAGGTGCCTGGGGTTCCAGGCAGTTGCAGGTGGGGTAAAGGTCCCGAGGGTCCCCTTCTGCATCCTCCTGTTGGACTGGAGCTGTGCAGCAGCAGCACTGGGACATGCTGGGAAGTCCAGAGCCCTCCTCCACCCTCCAGCTCTTCAGGGCAGGACATGCCTGAAGCCAGCGGCCCCTTCCTGGCACCCCATCTTCTCTCTGCAAATCGAGGTCCTTCCTGCACATCCAGGTTTGGGATGGGTTGGAGGTCAGCCAGAAACCTGGCCCGTGTCCCACTCCTAGGCTTGTCCAGGGTATTCATCACTTGGGTGCGTCCATCCAGCCCTTCTGTGTCTTGGCCCCTCTTTGGTATAGAGGCACAGCTGTGTGCCCCATCTCCACCTTGACAGCTCATGGGTTCAAGAAGCTGCCAGATCCACCCCATCTGTGGGGTTTCTTGGGACGGCCATGGATTCCCCATCAGTTCCACCCATCTGGGAGTGTGAAATTATGGCACCGCTCTGGAACATGGGCCTGTCATCGCCTCTTGTGGCACATTGTGATGTGTTTGCCATCTCCCCGGTGGAGGGGGTGGCAGTGGGTGTCCCTGTGGCTGCTGGGTGCTGCTTCTGAAGGAACACGTCCTCCACATCAACCTGCTGGAGGTCCATAGCAGGGAGAACCTTAGAGGGTGTCACATGCAAGTGACAGCACGCGTCTGGGTCACTGTGTGCTGTAGACATAACCTGATGGTGCTTGGATCTCCAGCACCTCTTTGCCCAGTCCACACAAGACAAGTCTCCTGCCTGAGCAGGTCTGGCTGAAGCCATAGGAGATCTGGAGAGATGTAGCCTGCAAAGAGGATCAAACTAGTTTTCATTCCCTCTTCAGTGTGTGGATGAATCCACCCTGGGTTCCCTTTCGAGGCTGGTGGTGTCAGGCTCTTCCTTTATCTCAGGGAACACTCACCCAGCTGCTCCCCTTCTACCTGTAGATGAAGCATCCTTCTTCCTACATGCTGGTTCATAAGTTCCTGGAAGAGTTGACCTGTGCAAACCCACGGTGACCTTGCAAAATGCAAACGTGGTGCTGGTTAGAGGTGACTCTGCACCACAACCCTTGGCCTTGCATGCACAGCAGCACCCGTGAATGATCCTGAGGAGGATGGGGACCTCTTTCAAAAACATAGATGTGGCTGGAGGGCACCGTGTTGGAGCTGAGTGCTAGTGGCATTCACTTGGGTGTCTGAGCAGTCACATCTTCCTCAGAAGATCTGGGCCCATCCAGCTCTGGCTGCGGCAGTGACAGGGACCCCAAGGTGGTGACCGATGGCAGGATGGCTGCACGGCATCATCCTCTGGTGGGAAGAGTGCACGGACTCGCACGGAGAAGATGGAAGGGTTGCTGTTCTTCAAGATGCGTGGTTGACGTGCAGGAGTCTCCTACCCAGCTTTCCTCTCTCCCTCTCTCTGGGCCTTTCCCAGGTATGGTTGAGTGGTGAGGAACGAGCTGGAGGCATGTGCCTCCTCCCCGCCATGAGCTGAGGGGAGGACCAGAGGAGTGCAAGGGAGAGCTTTCTGGTCTCCTGTGGAAGGGCGTGAGTACAAGGGCTGTTGTACGACACGTACATGTGCCTCCATGTCGTGACAGAACGCTGCCCACGGGTAAGTTGTCTCTCTGTCCTGAAGGACACGCAATGGTCGTGGCAGCCGCTGATCACTGGACAGTCTTGGTATTGTGGAGAGAGGTTGAGGTTGGAAGGGACCTCTGGAGACCTCTAATCTGGTGTCCTGCTCCAAGCGGGACTGGTGTCAAAGACGATAGACCAGGTTGCTCAGGGTTTTGTCCACTTGAGGAGCTGTTCTGCCCCCTCGTGATGCATCGTTTGACGTTGATTGACATCCCTCAGCTCCCAGGCAGGCCTCAGCTCATAATGGTGAACGTAGCTCAAATCTGATCTAAACCACCTGAAGCGAAACACTGCCTGGGCTTGCATGAGACCAGGTGATGGTAGATGTACATCAGTGAGACCCAGGTTCACCCCGAAGCTTGAGCAGGTGTTGAAATGAGCTTTTCTGTGAACAGCAGGCTCAGGTCCTCCTGAGCTCTCAAAAGCCCTTGTGTGACACCAGACGCATCTCAGGGGGCTCCTCTCTGCTGGTTGTTTCACCCTAGGGTTGACATCCATCGGAAGGAGAACGCCGGCGCTGCCGAAAAGCCCATCACCATCCATGCCACGCCAGAGGGGTGCTCCGAAGCGTGTCGCATGATCCTTGATATCATGCAGAAGGAGGCTGATGAAACTAAGTCGTAAGTGTCCTTGGCTCAGCAAAACAGGCAGGTTTGGAGAAAGGGAGGTGATCCCAGCCATCAGTGGAGCTTTTCTCCACTTCTGTCACCTCCCAGCTCCTGAGGGAACTGCTGGCATGGTCATGGGTCAGTTAATAACTTAGAACTTAACTTCTCCATGTTGTGGTTGACAGTGTTGTAGGGACCAGGAGCTGGGGTGGGTACAAAGAGCACGTAGGCAAGCTTGGAGAATGAAACCTCATAAAATATAGATGTGTCGTTGGGTTTGGGAAGTTCCTGACTTCCCATTCCCCAGAAGCTGAGGAGATACAGTGCTGGGAAACCGTGGTGGTTCTTCTGCTCCTTCAGACGTTAGTGCCCATTGCTGAAAATTGGTTTCCTGGCCAGAAGGACCATTAGATTTTATTTTTTCATCTGTTTCAGAACAGAAGAGATTCCCTTGAAAATCCTAGCACACAACAGTCTGGTGGGGAGGTTGATTGGCAAGGAGGGCCGCAACCTCAAGAAGATCGAGCAGGACACGGGCACGAAGATCACCATCTCCCCGTAAGTCCTGGTGAACGCCAAGCCACCCCCCTCCATCCATCACGGCACAGACAGCACTGGAGCCAGAAAAAAGAGCAGTTGCATCCTCCTGTACACGTTCCCCATGCCAGGTGGACGTTCTCCATCCGAGGTGGATGGTGGCATTGGGCACGGAGAGGGCACACAGTTCCACATGATCTCAGGGGGAGCCCTCATCTTTGATCTGAGTTTTCCTTGGTTGGTTTTTTTTTTTTTTTTTTTTTTGACTTGAAAGGAAATGTAACTGTGTCTCTGTTTTTATCCCTGGTCTAGTTTGCAGGATTTAACCATTTACAACCCCGAGCGGACCATCACGGTGAAGGGCAGCACGGAGGCCTGCTCCAACGCCGAAGTGGAGATCATGAAGAAGTTGCGAGAGGCCTACGAGAATGACGTGGTGGCCGTCAATGTAAGCTTCCAACCCCCCCCCCCTTCCTGGGGCGCCCCTGCTTCAAAGCCACTGCTGAGGTGGCCAGAAGAAAACTGGAAGGGGGGGGAGGGCGTTTGCTGATCTGTTATGACAAGGATTGGCCCTCACCCATCGTGTCCACACTGTGTGATGAGAACTCCAAAACCCCCCACTCTGCCTTTTACACGTTTCTCCATGTCTTTGCTTTCCCAGCAACAAGCCAATCTGATCCCTGGACTGAACCTCAGTGCTTTGGGCATCTTCTCGACAGGATTGTCCATGCTCCCATCCACCCCGGGGGCCCGAGGGGCTGCGGCAGCCACCCCCTACCACCCCTTTGCAGTAAGTGCATGAGGTTTTGAGGTGGGGGGGTTGCGTTCTTGAGGGCAGAGTGGTCTCTAGACTCTCCTGCTGTAGCTCTTGGGTTTGGGTGGACACCACAGCTGTAGGAGCCATCTAATGGGGAGCCTTGAACAAGAGCTCTGGCTCTTGGCTGTTTGGGGAAGGTGCTCATCACAGCAGCGGAGTGGAGAAGACAGTGAATGAACGTGGCTGGTCCCTCCTTGGATGCAGCTCCCCGGGAAGACCAGTTGCATCCCTGTGATGTGCTGGGCTTGGTTTCACCTGTGCTTGGCCATGTCCCAAGGGTGCTGCTCTCTGCAGGTGGCTTTGAGCAACCTGTGCTGAGGCTGGCGTGGAAAAACCATGTAGATGGTCTTCAGTCCTGACCCCAGACCCACCACTGGGTTGTGGTGGCGCGGGCTCGGTTCTGCCCTGCGGGTCTGGTCCTGGTGGCCACGTGAACCCGCTGGCATCACCGCAGGGTGTGCGTGGGGACCGCGGCGTGAAGGGGGACAGGCAGCAGCCCCCGGTGCAGCCGTCAGCCTCCATCCCTGCCCCAGCACCCCAAGGGTCGTGCCTGCTGGTTGCCAATCCTCACCTGGTCTCGTAGGAGAGGGTTCTCCTCCTTCTTGGGGCGCCGTGGGGGCTGCGACCTGGGGCAGAGCAGCTTTGGAACCAGGGAGGTTGTGGGCGGGCAGGGACGGTCCGGTGTTGGGAAGACATGCCGGCCAAAGCGCCCATGGAGAAGGTCCACCCCCAACCCAAGTAGCACCTGCAGAGCATCCCTCAGGGTGGCCGGGCCCTGTGGCGGTTCTGTCTCCGTTAGTCCCCAAAACGCCTCTGCCATGACCCGGGTTCATTTACTTGTGCTGTTTTCTTTTCCTGGCGACGCCAGCAGCCCAGCGGTCGGAGGAGAACGGTGAGTGCCAGGCTGGTGGGGAGGAGGGTTTGAGTGCCATGGGTGTGGTGGCCCCCGGAGGGCACCCAGAGGGTCGGTCCGTCCATCCGTCCGTCTGTCTGTCTCCATGCCCACCACCCAGGGGAGGGTGCTCTGCCCTCTTCCTCGGGGGAGCGTCTGCTGGAGCGTGGGTTGGTGGGATGGAGAGGAGCTGGGCGGCTCTCATCCCAGCCAAAAGGAGCATTTTGAGGTGGGCTCCTTCACCCCAAAGCCTTGTGGGGCCTTTTTCAAGCCACCCTGGCGAGGCCAAAAAATACCCAAACAAATAGGAAACCGGTTTGGGTCCGTGGCAGCTCCTTCCCCCCAAGTACATTGTGTTTCACACCTCAGCGTGGTCATTTCTGACCACTCAGCAGGACCTGGGGCCTGTAGCTTCAACTCTGGAGCTCAGAGACCTGGCCAGGGTGGAGGATGAGGAAGGAGCCTTCTGGTGAACTGGGAGAACTGGGAAGGTGCAGTGCCCACCTCAGCTGCGAGGACTGGCCGGGCAGGAGAGGACTCTACCATAAGAAGTTCCACCTAAACTTGAGGAGGAACTTCTTTGCTGTGAGGGTGGCAGAGCCCTGGAAGAGGCTGCCCAGGGAGGTGGTGGAGTCTCCTTCTCTAGAGACATTCAAACCCCACCTGGACACGTTCCTGTGGGACCTGCTCTGGGTGGCCCTACTCTGGCAGGGGGTTGGACTGGATGATCTCCAGAGGCCCCTTCCAACCCCATGTGATTCTGTGACACGATGGTGTAGGAGAGGTGGTGGTGGAGCAGCCCATGGCCAGCAGTAGAGGGTGGACGTGGAGAGCATGAGCTTGGTGCGAGGAGGAGCACAAAACCTGGGCTTAAATTGGGGGCTGGGAGCAAGAGCAGTGTCTGCTGTGGGCAGGGGAGCTGGGTCTGCTCCTCTTCCACCTCAGAAATGGTGCTTTGCAGGTGGCATCTGGTTGCACTTGTTGGAATCCAGAGCAGGAGAGAGTTTTGTCTGCTGCTGAGAGAAGTGTCTGATGTGTTTGAGACACAGAAGCGTTGAAGAGGAGTTGGGTTGGGTTGAGCTGGGTTGGGTTGGGTTGAGATGGGTTGGGGTGCTGGCACGCACCCCTTGCTTTTGGCTGCTTTCACCCCGTCCCCAGCCCAGGTGTTGGGAGAACATCTTCAACCTTTGCTTTTTCTTCTCTTGGAACTGGAGAAGAGAAATGGTGATGGAAATCGGAGCCAAATCAGGTGTTTTGCTCAGTTCTCCCCAAACCCCCACCTCCTCCCCTGGGGACCAGTGGTGGTTACAGCATGGTTTTGGCTCTCCAGGGCTGTGGCTGCTCTGAAAGGGGCTGGTTTGGGGCTACAAACGCTGGTGGGACACAGCTGGAAAACCAGCAGTGGTGTGAGGGACTGGGGGTAACCGGGACCCCCCGTCCACCTCCCAGCCCCGTTGCGCTGGATCGGTGCTGCAGCTCACCCCGAAGCACCCGGGACCCCCCGTCCACCTCCCAGCCCCGTTGTGCTGGATTGGGGCTGCAGCTCACCCCGAAGCACCCTCGGGTGCCCCCGTGCTCTCTGGAGGGGGGCGTTCAGGGGCTGAAGGGTTGTCCCCGTGTCCCCTGGCCGGGCTCACGGTGGTGGGACGCTGCTCCGTGTGGGGCTGGGGGCGGCCGGGAAGGGGCTGGCAGGTTGGGGCTGTGGCTGAGCCCCCCTTTTCCCTCCCCCTGTAGAGCTCCTCGGCGTATCTCTCGGGTCTCTACGGAGCGTCCCCAGCCGGAGCCTTCCCCCATCAGCACCCAGTAAGTGCCCGGCACCCCATTCCTCAGATCTTCCTTCGGGAGGGTGAGCGTGGGGCCGGGATGGGCAACCTCTGCCCTGGGATGGTGGCAGGGGGACAACCTTTGGTCTGGTGGGTCCCCTGACCTTCTGGCTCCTTCCCTGTCCCCGCAGCTGCCGGAGCAGGAGGTGGTGAACCTGTTCATCCCGACGCAGGCGGTGGGGGCCATCATCGGGAAGAAGGGGCAGCACATCCGGCAGCTGGTGCGGTTTGCGGGGGCCTCCATCAAGGTGAGGAGGGGGCTGGGGGGGCG